GGAGGAGGAGGAGGAGGAGGAGGAGGAGGAGGAGGGACGAGGCGCAGGAAGCGGAGCAGGAAGCGCGCCCGAGGCCGGGCTTTCCTAGGAAGCAGCAGGCGGCGTGGCGCAGCCAGCGGGGCCGGGAGCGGCCACCTCGATGGGGTGAGAGCGCGGCGCGGAGTTGGGAAGCTGCGCGTGGGGTCCGCCGCGTCCCTGCCTTTGTGTCTGGGGCCGGCGCCGGGCGGGGCGGCAGCGAGGGTCCCGCCGCCGCTTCTCCTCCGCCGCCGGTTGCCCGCGCAGGACGGATTTGGGGACCAGAAGAGGAGGAGGATGGTGGGGACCGGCCAAGTTAGTACCAGGCGCTCTGCTTCTCCCGGTTCCCAGCCCCTTGCAGGCCGGATGGGGAAGGCAGGGCCGGCTGGCTGCGGAGGGAGCGCGGGAGGCAATGAATGACCAGGCACTGGCCGACGGCCTGGGCGCGCTGGAGTCCGCCCTGACCCACCTGCTTCGCCCTGCCGGCTCCTGGCCTCTGCTTCTGGGCCGGACCCGCCTCCCGGCTGAACTTGGAGACGCTGGGGAGGGAGGCGCGAGCGCGGGACTTTGGCTTGCTCCGGAGACCCAGGGTCCGCTATTGTTCCTTTCCCGACTTTGGGGAGCCCTGCGGCTGGCGCAAGGGCGCAGGCGAGGCCGCTCTGGGCCTCCCGCGCCCCCCCGAACCCGCCCCCTCCTTGTCCTTTCCCGCGCGTCGTGCTCTGGGAAGACCGGGAGGAGGGATGCTGGAGTTGGGGTGGCTGTGAGCTCAGAGGGGCGCGCGTCCTGTGCGTCGACCCCGGCCCGGGAGGACGGGATCCTTTCCTTCTACCTTGTCTTCTCTACCATCTTGGGCCAGTTTGTCCTCTGTTTAGGTTCTGCAGTTTGCAGCGCGCCTCCGCAACCCCTTTTTGGGGGAGGTGGGGGATGGAAACAGAGTGTGTGTGTCTCACCCTGGAGGTGCAGCAGACGGGGATTACAGCAGATGGAGTTCTGTGATACCTGAAGGGGTCAGAAGTGGCCTCGGGGGGACCTGAGAACAGGCAGGATATCCAGGCTCCCCTTTCTTGTCTAAGGAGCCCAGCTCAGCGCGACTCTAGCCTGTGATGGATTGGAGCAAATCTGCGCACTCAGTCACAGTCCTGGGACCTGTGGCTTCCCCAGCAGTGTAGGCTCCTAGGCGATTTGAATGGGATTTCCTTCCGGGAGAGCTCTGGAAAGTGGAGAGTGGTCCGGAATGGGGAAAGATTGCTTCTTATCTGCGGAATGTGATCTCAAGGCCATAAAAGTCTGGAGGAGAGGGGATTTGGTTTTGTCCATTAGTGAGACTTCGCAGAAGCTCACTTAGGGAGGAGTCCTCACCTCCCTGAGGTCTGAACAGAGCTGAAGAGCCCCTGAATCATAGGGATGCTCAGTTGGCTTCTGTGGTGCACACGTGGTGGCCCTATGCATTCCTGTGACCAGGAGTTTTATTGTTAGATATAGTTTAATAACCTTTTCTTAATAACTAGCAAGTGAGATCTTCATTTCCTTGGCCTTGTAGGCGGTCACTTGTATCTCCACTATATTCAGTTCTTATTATTTTAACCAGTACTCAGTTTAAATTTTTTTCTTTTTGTATATGTTTTTAAATTTTGGGAGTACATTTTTAGATAAACATAATGATCACATTCCTCGTAGGGAATTTGTATTTCTGCATGATGTATCTTGCTTCTTCTTTTCTTCTCCATACTCCTACCCTCCCTTCAACTCCCTTGGGGTGAGAAACGCGTCCTCCGCTGGGCTGTCCCGAAATTTTTATCATCTACACTGCCTGAGATACTTCTTAAATGAATTTATTGAAACATTTACATCCCTTAAATTTGTTTTATGACTTTTGGAGGGAGGGACAGTGGTACAGATGGAATCTAGCTGAGGCTTTGCAGATTTCCAGGCAAGTGCTTTACCACTGAGCTACAGCCCAGCCCTCTGACGGTAGTGATGATGGTTATAACCTAGTTGAAAAAAAAGTCTTAGTGCTATTTTCTTTGAACCTGAATAAGAAGAATGGCTGCTGTGCCACTGAGGGGCCCATGGGGGAGTGACACATTGCCTCACCTTGAATAGTGTTTCTGACAGTGAAATTCCATCTTTAGATTGCTAATTCTCAAAGAGTCTTAGAGGCAGGTACTGTTCTCATTCTCCTGTGCTTTTGTTATTGTTACTGAGATCAAACCCAAGGCACTCTTGTGCTAAGCAAGTGTCTGCCGCGCAGCCACACCCTCAGCACCCACTCCTTGGGCCTTAAAAGTAAGAAACTGAATTTGCAAGTTAAGGACAACTGGGCCTTGAATTTAATAGACTGTGGTGGGAAATTCCCTTCTGAAATAAAAATAAAAATGAAATATTTCAAACTTGCATAAAAAGAGAATATATGTAGTAAACCATTTTTCTACTAGCTAAGTTTGAGAGATGCTAATATTTCTATATTTCCTTATACCCTTCTTCATTAAAAATGAACTGTAACTTAAAGATTTTTTTCCCATCTTACCCTCTCCCCCTGCAGCCTCAGGGAGCTATTAATGTGAAGTTGATACATACAGTTTCCAGCCATGTTTTGGTACTTCTGTGTATTATTTATCCACAAAACTATATGCAAGTTTGTGCTTAGTATTTCACATAAATGGTGTATCATCTCTCTCTCTCTCTCTCTCTCTCTCTCTCTCTCTATATATATATATATATATATATCTTGCATTTTATATTTGCCATTATGTTTTTGAGGTACATGTAAGTCTTTATTCACTTTAGCTGCTACAGAGAATTCTAGTATATGAATAAGTCATAGTATAGCTACTTTCTTGCCAAGAGAAAATTGGAGTTGCCAGGTTTTCACTGTTACTGGCACTTTGTCTGTTGAGGAACAGATTATTTGCACTTTTTTTTTTTTAATTGTAACAGTGGTAAAATACAAATCCTGAGACCATTTCCTTGTGCACCAGTGTCTGTGTTGCACAGCTACACAATTAGTTGCTAGATAGTGAGGTTGACATAATGCTCCTTTTACCATTTCCTTCATTCCTCAAGAAATATTTATATAGGATGTCTGTTTTTTCTTTTTTGGGGACAGAACTGGGGATTGAACTCAGGCCCTTGCACTTGCCAGGGAAGTGCTTATTCCTCTGAGCCATCTCCCCGGCCCCTTTTATAGGATGTCTCTTGGTCATCAGTTGAATGAAAAAGTCCATTTCTCAGTTTTAAACTCGAGGAACATAGATTATATTTGTTGGCTGGATTAGTTTTGTTTTATCATTTTTGTTTTTAAATAACTGCCTGCCTCTTCATTATAAAGTTGAAGTGTGAAACCAAATCATTGTGCTGGGTTTGGGGTATCATGCAAAAGCCTTTCTCAGGCATTTGAGGAAGCATTTCCAAAGTTACTCTAAGTGTATTCATGGCTGTGTTAGGAATATATTTTGCCATTAATGATGACCCCTTGCACTGGAAGGAGTTTTAGGCATTTCAACACATTGGCTTCCTCGTTAGTCCTTCAAACTGCTGGGTACCTACCTGCCTCTGATCCTTTTCATTTGCTGGTAGCTCTCCTTAGAGAGGTCTTCCCCTAGGTGGCTCCTTGGTGGCTGTGCCCCATTTCTGGGTGAGCCTAATCAGACACCCTTTCCATGATGCCCTGATACCTCTTTCTTGTTAGATTTCCTTCCATGGCCCTTACACCTTCTACTTCGCCACCTATTTTGTGTTAGTATTTCCTTTCTTTCTGTGCTTGAACATAAGTCCACAAAGACAGGGTTTTGCTTCTCTGGTTCACTGCTGGGTCCCTTGTGTCTGGAGCAGTGGTGACACATACTATGTACTCAGCTATTGATGAACAAAGGAAAATATTGCTTTTCATTGTGATTCTTTGCTTGGAGTTTTTCTTTTAGTGCACGTTGGGCATCCGACTGGTGTCTGCTACTACAGAGCTGTAACTGAGAGCACCAGATGTCATATTTACAGGTTGTTTTTGTATTTCGAGGAGAAAAGATACTAAAAACAATGATGCAAAACTTCAAAACAAGATAATAGGAGAGTGACGGTGGTTAGTACACATTGCTTATTGTTATCTGCAAAGTAGTAGCTCAGATTACAAGGTATAGGCATGAAACATTGATCAAAAATTATATACACAAACTTTTTTCAAATAACTAGTAGAAATTAGTAGCATAGCTATCTTAACTTTTCTCTTTTCCCTTCCTTTTCTCCTTTCCCCCATCCATGTTCTGTTTCCTTTTGAACAGTTTCTTTCTGTTTCCCAGTATCTGTTGTACATTTTGGCTCTTATTTACTTTTAGCTTCTTGTACTAGCAAGACAATGATGTTTACACATGTGGGGCATTTATTTCACCTAAGAGTATGGTCTCCCGTTGCATCCAAATACCTATAAAAGTCTCAAGTTTATCCTTCGTTATAGCTGAGTAGTACTGTATTGTATAAAAATACCACATCTAGCCTGGTATGGTAGCATTCCCAGCACTCGGAAGGCTGAGGCAGGAGGATCAATGCAAGTTCAAGGCCAGCCTGGAATATGAAGTGAGTTCAAGGCCAGCCTGAACTGCATGGGGAGATCTTGTCTTAAAAACAAACAAACCCCAAAACCCACATCTGTTTTATCCATCTCTTGGTTGACAGGCATTTGGATTGTTTCCAAGACTTAGCTATGACGAATTGTGCTGCTATAAACATGGGTGCACATATGTTGCTGTGGTATGATGTTTTTAATTCTTCTAGGAAAATGCCCAGAAGGGGGGTAGCTGGGTTGAATGGAACCCTGAATCCTAGTTTTCTTAGGAATCTCCACACTGATTTCCACAGCGGTTGCACCCGTCTACACTCCCTACTGATTCTTACAGCATTAAAAGAAATCCCCATACGTCCTATAAAGAAATCACTCTATTTAAATCCATGTGGTTTATCCTAGGAAGTGTTTACACCTTTAGATTTTTTTTTTTTAACCTAGCAATTCATTAACTCTGAATTGAAAGAAAAGTATAAGTAATCGGATGCCTAGTAGCACACTCACATTTCCTTTTCGTGGTAGCCCAGTTCTCTGGTGTTATAGATGTGGACGGTACAGAACCAAGGGATGCTGGGCC